AACTTGCATATGAGCAGTTGATGGTCTGTCCCACAATCAGCTCCTGGCCTGGTTTTTGGCTGAAGATATTGAGCTTTTCCATAGCCTCTTGCCACAGATGTAGTCAATCTGATTTCTGTGTGTTCCATCTGGTGAAGTTCATGTGTACAGCTGCCATTTGTGTTGTTGAAAAAAAGGTATTTGCAATGAAAAAGTGGTTGGTCTTATCAAATTCTACCATGTGATTTCCAGCATTATTTCTGTCGCCAAGGCCAAATTTTCCAACTACCGGTGATTCTTCTTTGTTCTCAACTTTTGCATTCCAGTCACCAGTAATAATTAACACTTCTTGATTGCAAGTTCTGTCAATTTCAAACTGCAGAAGTTGATAAAAATCTTCAATTTCCTCATCTTTGGCTTTGGTGGTTGGTGCATAAATTTGAGTAATAGGCATATTAACTGGTCTTCCTTGTAGGCGTATGGATATTATTCTATCACTGATGGCATTATACTTCAGGACAGATCTTGAAACATCCTTTGTAATGATGAATGCTACACCGTTCCTCTGCAAATTGTCATTCCCAGCATGGTAGATCATAGGTTGTCTGATTCAGAATGGCCAAAACCTGTCCATTTCACCTCACTAATACCTAGGATATCAATCTTTATGCATTCCATTTCATTTTTGACAACTTCCAATTTTTCCTAGATTCATACTTCGTACATTCCATGTTCCAATTATTAATGGATGTTTTCAGCTGTTTCTCCTCAATTTGAGTGGTGCCACGTCAGCAAATGGAAGTCTCAAAAGCTTTACTTTATCCATATCAGTAAGGCTGGTTTTACTCTGATGATGCAGCTCTCTCCCAGTCATATTTTGAGAGCCTGACTCATCTTCCTCCTCTGTTTTAGGCAATGTTTCTGGACTATTCCTAAAGTTGTGCAGTAAAGTATGAGACGGTGTTTCTCTGCTATTCATAAGGTTTTCCCTGGAAAATTCTTTGGGAAGTGGATGGCCTCTTCCTTCTTGCTAGTCTGTCTCAGTCTGCAAGCCATGCTGAAACATGTGCACCATGTGCACCCCACTGGGTTTGAAACACTGGTGGCACAGCCTCAAGACTTACAGCAGCACATCACCACAGTAAGACAAACCAACAGACAAGTCTACCTTCCTTAGCTGTTTGAAACCTCTCCAACCTCCCCTTACCTGGATCCTTGCTGCTGCCTCCTCGTTCTGTCCCAGCCCACCTAGCCTTTATCCTCTCCTTTTCCCCACTTCCCTGCCTTGCCGCTTGTGGGGCATGGCCTGGGTTCCCTCCCCTCACCTGGATCTCTGCAGCTGACCCCTCACTCTGTCCCAGTCCCCCTGATGAATCTGTGTACAACAGAACCAAACACTGCCCAGTCTTGCAACAGTCTTGCTATACCTGAGCCCATCAATGCAGCCACTGTGTCAATCCCTCTAATTGAGGGCCTTCTTCTTTTTTGCTGACCCTCACTTTACCAAGCATAATATCTTTCTTCAGGGAATGGTCCCTTCTGACAATGTGACCAAACCAGGTGAGACAAAGTCTGGCCATTCTCACTTCCAAGGAGCATTGCAGATGCACTTCCTCCAGGACAGATTTGTTTATTCTTCTGGCAGTCTATGGCACTTTAAGTATTCTTTTCCAACACCACCACTCAAAAGCATCAACTCTTCTTTGGTCTTCCTTATTCATTGTCCAGCTTTTACAGGCATATGAGGCAATTGAAAGCACCATGGCTTGGGTTAAGCACATCTTAGTCTTCAAAGAGACATCTTTGTTCTTCAGCACTGTAAAGAGGTCTTTTACAGCAGATTTGCCCAATGCAATATGTTGTCTGATGTCTTGACTGCTGCTTTCATTGATGTTGATTGTAGAATCAAGTAATATGAAGTCTTTGACAACTTCAATCTTTTCTCCATTTACTATGATGCTGCTTATTGGTCAAGTTGTGAGAATTTTCATTTTCTTTATGTTGATGTGTAATCTATACTGCAGACTGTAGTCTTTAATCTTCATCAGTAAATTCAAGTCATCTTCACATTCAGCAAGCAAAATTGTGTCATCTGCATATCACAGGTTGTTAATGAGTCTGCTGCCAATCCTGATGCCTCATTCTTCTTCATAGAGTCCAGCTCTTGGATTATTTGCTCAGCACACAGATTGAATAAGTATAGTGAAAGTACACAACTCTGACACACTCCCTTCCTGAATTTAAACCATGCAGTCTCTTCTTGTTCTGTTGAACAACAGCCTCCTGGTCTATGTACAGCTCCTCATGAGAACAATTAAATGTTCTGGAATTCCCATTCTTCTCAATGTTATCCATAATTTGTTATGATCTACAGTCAAATGATTTTGCACAGTCAGTAAAACACAAGTAGACATCTTTCTGGTCTTTGCTTTCAGCCAAGATCCATCTAACATCAGCAATGATATCCCTCATTCCACATAATCTTCTGAAGCCAACTTGCATTTCTGGAAGTTCTCTGTCAACTTACTGCTACAACTGTTTTTTAATTATCTTCAGCAAGATTTTACTTGTATGTGATATTACTGATACTGTTTAATAATTTCTGCATTCCGTGGAATCACCTTTCTTTGGAATAGGTACAAATATGGATCTCTTCCTGTCAGTTGGCCAGCTAGCTGTCTTCCAAATTTCTTGGCATAGACAAGTAAGTGCCTCCAGCATGACATCCATTTCTTGCAACATCTCAATGGATATTCTGTCAATTCCTGGAGCCTTGTTTTTCACCAGTTCTTTCAGTGCAGCTTCGACTTCTTCCTTCAATACCATCAGTTCTGGATCATATGCCACCTCCTGAAATGGATGAAAGTTGACCAATTCTTTTTGGTACAGTGACTCTGTGTATTCCTTCCATCTTCTTTTGATGTTTCTTGCATCATTCAATATTTTTCCCATAGAGTCTTTCAATATTGCAGCTCAAGGTTTGAATTTTCCCTTCAGTTCTTTTAGCTTAAGAATGTCAAGTGTGCTCTTCCATTTTGGTTTTCTAACTCCAGGCTTTGCACATTTCATTATAATAGTTGACTTTGTGTCTTCGAGCTGCTCTTTGAAATCTTCTGCTCAGCTCTTTGATCTTGTCATTTCTTTCATTTACTTTAGCTGTCCTCCATTCAAGAGCAAGTTTCAAAGTCTCTTCTGACAACCATTTTGGTCTTTTCTTCCTTTCCTGCCTTTTTAATGACCTTTTGCTTTCTTCATGTATAATGTTCTTGATGTCATCCCACAATTCCTCTGGTTTTCAGTCATTGGTGCTCAATGAGTCAAATCTATTCTTTAGATGGTCTCTAAATTCAGGTGGGATATAATCAAGGTCATATTTTTGTTCTTGTGGACTTGTTTTAATTGTCTTCAGCTTCAACTTGCACTTACATATGAGCAATTGATGGTCTGTTCCACAGTCAGCTCCTGGCCTTCTTTTGGCTGAAGATATTGAGATTTTCTATTGCCTCTTTCCAGGAATGTAGTTTATCTGATTCCTGTGTACTCCGTCTGGAAGAGTCCACGTGTATAGCTGCCATTTATGTTGTTGAAAAAAGGTATTTGCAATGAATAATCGTTAGTCTTACAAAATTCTATCATGCAATCTCTAGTGTCATCTCTATCACCAAGGCCATACTTTCCAACTCCTGGTGATTCTTTGTTTTGCATTCCAATTATCAGTAATAACCCACCTTCACTGAATGTTCAGTCAATTTCAGACTACAGAAGTTAGTAAAAATCTTCAATTTCCTTGTCTTTGATTTTGGTGGTTGGTGTGTAAATTTGGATAATAATAGTATTAACCAGTCTTCCTTGTAGGCATATGGATATTGTCCTATCACTGACAACATTGTACTTCAGGATAGATCTTGAAATGCTCTTTGTAATGATGGATGTCACACCATATTCTTCAATTTGTCTTTCCCAGCATAGTAGATCATATGATTATATGATTCAAAATGACCAAAACCAGACCATTTCAGCTCACTAATGTTTAGGATATTCATCTTTATGTATTCCATTTCATTTTTGACAACTTCAAATTTTCCTAGATTCATACTGTGTACATTCCATGATCCACATATTAATGGATGTTTACAACTGTTTCTTCCTATTTTGAGTCATACCACATCAGCAAATGGAAGTCCCAAAAGCTTTACTTCATCCACGACATTAAGACTGACTCTATTTTGAGGAAACAGCTCTTTCCCAGTCTTATTTTGAGTGCCTTTTGACCTGGGGGGCTCATATTCTGGCACTACATCGGACAATGTTTCCAGGTTATTCATAAAGTTTTTAATATATCAGACAGTGTTTCATTGCTATTCATAAAGTTTTCACTGGCCAATTCCTTGAGAAGTGGGTGGCCCCTTCCTTCTACCAAGTCTGTCTTAGCCTGGAAGCTCTGCTGAAACCTGTCCACCATGGGTGATCCTACTGGTATTTGAAATACCGGTGGTATAGCTTCCAGCCTCACAGCAACATGCAAGCCACCACAGTACAACATACTGACAGAAGAGTGGTGGCTAAGCAGAGTAGACCCTCATTAAAGCTGAACTCAAGTGCAAAATTAATGTTATGCACCTTTGCATCTCAAGCACCAAACTTAATGTCTTAGAAGGTGTCCTCTCAGTAAGCATTTGTTAAACTGAATTAATTGATTAAGGCCAAGCTAAAATGATTTTATTATTATTATTATTATTTAATTTAAGCCTGCTCAGTTCCAACTGCTTCTTTGGAATCATTCCCAAACCCCTGTCTAGCCCAATTTACCCAGCCTCCTCCAAACATCTATGACACATGATACCTGACTCTTTTGGTATATAATAAAGTATGTATTTGTTTCCTCTTAATGGAACTAAAAGCAATTTATGAGCCAAGTACATAGTAAACTCTCAACCAATATTCACTGCACTGAACGCTAATTAGAGTTGTCACATATTTCATCCATGTGACCTAACACTAGACTGTTGTTGCCTCCCCAGGGGATGTTCTGGTGTTCCTGGATAGCCACTCTGAGGTGAATAGAGTATGGCTGGAGCCCTTGCTATTTGCTATCTCCAAAAACCCCAAAATGGTGGTTTGCCCTGTGATCGATGTTATTGATAACATGACACTGGAATACACACCCTCTCCTGTTGTAAGGGGAACTTTCAACTGGAAGCTACAATTTATGTGGGATAACATCTTCTCCTATGAGATGGAGGGACCAGAAGGGCCCACTGCACCAGTCAGGTAAGTTTTCTGCTGTTTATGAGGGGATTAGCATGCATGTATTGGGACCTCATGGTAAACAAAGTTTTCAGGGATTATTTATTTATTTATTTATTTATTTATTTAGATTCCTTGGGTTTGATGAATAAAAATATTTTTAAAATTTATTTGTAAAATGATTGAGTAACAGGATTTGGTAGGTGTTAAGTTTCTGTGTGACCAATTGACAATGAACATCTCACCCCACATCAGAATACCACTGCCGTTTGTATTGCTTTCATTTCACAAGTGTCCCTCTTCAGGTTGTAGACTTTGATCTTGGAAACCAGTGTGCCTGTAAATCATTGAACAAAATATCAGCACTATGCACATCTCAGAAAAAAGCAGACATCTGTATCAAGGTCATCCATAAAATATTTATCCAAGGGTTTGTATTTTGCAATTCCGTAGAGTTTTTTATTTTATTGTGATATGGGTGAAAGTTTACAGAGCAAATTCACTTTCCATACAGCAGTTCATGTACACTTTGTCTCATGAAATTGACCACAATTTACCACAAAGCAATAGCTCCCCTCCCACGTACTCCCTATAGTTACCTCTTCCCTGTGTCCATCCCTCCATGCACTCCTGCCCCCTGAGCTGTCTCCCTGTGCATAAGCAGCCCTTCTTTCTCCCATGATTGTCCTATCCAAGGAGTGTATATACCTCAGGTACTTGCTCAACTCACATGCCTGTCTTTTGTTTGCTGGAAACCACAGGTGTGTGTTCAATTCCAGACATGATGGGCAGCTAGGGGCCATAGTCTCAGTGGTTCCACCAGGCTCTATTGGACCAGCAAACCTGCCCCACCTCCATCTTTTTTTTTTCTCCAAATGATTTTGAGTTTTGTTCCACATTGTTCTCCCTCTCTATCAAGGATCTCCTGCATAGATTCAATTCCAGACATGATGGGCAGCTAGGGGCCA